TGGCTCTCAGTTGCTTTCTGTTTTGCTAATCACAATGTCCTGTATAATCAGCATCAATAAGTCCAGGCAATACAAATAAGCCAGCAAGACCAGCTGATGATCTTCCTATCAGTAGTGCACCAAACACTTGTTTATTTGTTATTAAAGGTCCATAAATCCCGGTGGGAATCTTCTGAGGTTGGGTGGATAGCAAGGTAACTTCTACTGCTGTTGCCAAGTCCAATCCGAGGCTGCCGGCTGTGGCAGGTTGTAATCCGAGAGTATTGGTTGAGGTGGGTTGTGATCCGCAACTGTCGACTGGGGTAGATTGCAGCTGCTTTCCTGTCCGTGGAATGGATTGTTCAGTGAAAAACTGTTGGTTGGAGTTATCTGGTAACATTTTAATCGAGCTTTTCCTTCTGCAAAATTATGTGCCTTTACTTGAAGGGGTGCAAGAGCTGCTAAAACCTGAGCTTGGGAACTTTGAACCTGCTCCTTAAGTCCCTTAGCTAAATCTTGAATAGCAGTAACTAAAAATGCATTCTCTCCTGTAGGTATTTGCAATACCTTTTCTAATAACTCCTCAATGGTCCAGTAAGGACCCATTGTACTTATTATTTGCTTAATTGTTGAAGTAGCATTTTGCAACACACATTGTTTTAACATAGTTCCTTTCATATAATCTGGTACTCCTGCTCGAGTGATAGCAGCTGTTAACTTGTCAACATATTCTCCAAATGATTCATCCTTTCCTTGTTTTAAGCCCATATACAAAGGTACTCCTCCTGGCTCTTTAACTCTTTCTAAAGCCCTTCTAACAGGATCCATTGCCTCTCTAATTTTATCTGGGCCAAGATGAACTTGTGCCTCAGGGCGTGTATATGGCCCTATGCCCATTAATTCTTCTATAGTGACACCATGCAAAGGATCTCCGGGCAGCCGTTGTTCTGCTACACTTTCATGAACTAATGCTTGCCAATGTGCATTAAATAACAATTGTTGATGTTCAGTCAATATCATACGAGTTATAGATCGGAGATCAGATGGCAGTAAAAGATGTGTATACCAAAAATAATCGAACATTTGTTTAGTTGGTTCAGCATGTAATCCAAATTCACTGACTGTACTTCGCAATTGTGCCAAGAATTTCCAATCTAATGCAGTAATAACAGCGTTCATTCCTCCCTGCCCATCCAGATTATAAGTAACGGGAAAAGCATACGAATCCACAGCCTGCAGTCCATGAGAATCACCCTGCTCCATACAGTGCTTAGCAAATGCAGCCCAAGTTTCTCTCCGCTCTTTTACCACGGCCTCCGCCAGGTCACTGAATGCCCCAGGGACAGGTTCTTTGGTCGAGTGAGCAGGAGGAGGAGGTTTGAACCGAGGGTCAGTCTGACTGCTAGGCACATCGACCAGGGGAGGTGGTGCAGTAGGAGCTGCAGATGTCTCTGATTCTAGCAACCCGTCTATATTTATTTTAGAAAGATCAGAGGGCACAGCGGGGAGGTGAACTGTCTGCATAGCAGGGGGAGAAGGCTTATAAGAAAACCAATCAGCATTCTTATACTCTTTATTCTGCTGTCTCACATTTAGTGCTTGCTCTGCTGCTCTGCGTTCAGCCTCATGTTGCAACCACCCTCCAAAGCTTTCCTAGCTTTTTTGCAACTTTATCATCATCTAAAACAGCCTCCCATATTTTATCACCAAATTTACGCCACTCCTCTAAGGAATGCACAGTATGAGGATTAACAAAACACCCTTTTTCATTACCATAATCAAGTAACCCAGGAAGTTCTTTTTTTAAATCTAAATCTTTAACCCCCTTTTTTCTGTAAAAATTCAGAAAATAAACTATATGCTGCTTGCCTATCCATACCTACGTCAGCGCTGTTGCAGCCCTTTCAAGGTCCGGCAGCACGTATGGCAGAGCTTGACTATACAACGCTCCGGGTCCGAAGTTGCACCTTTATGCCAACTTTTTCCACAGTTGCACCTTTATGCCAACTGTTTTCGACCAACCTCGCTGCTAAGGCTCCGACACCTTGCCATCTCAACTGTGATTCCCCCGTTTCTTTAAATCCAGTCGAGAAGTCTTCTTTAAGCCAAGAAGCCTTCTTTTAGTAGAGTCAGAGTCGGGGTCACCATTTGTTGTAGACGATGGGATAAAGACACTTTTAGACCACAAAATTGATCAATAACTTATCCAACTTTATTGCTGCGTGCTTTGTGCTTATAAAGGTTACAAATTAGCTTCATACATATTACAAAAGCTAAGCTCATCATTGGCTTCTAATTACCTAAGTTATATTTGCGCAAATGCTGATTCTTTAACCTTCTTATGGTTACTTGTTTGCTATTTGCTCAGCTTTCCCATCCGCTATATTCTTTTCTTCTGTCACGTACCCAGTTTCTCAAACACTGTGACCTTCTAATAGTTTTCTCTTACCGTGGGACCAGAGCTATAGCATCTCTCTCATGTCCCCTTTCTATCAACCATGTTTCTGCAATACTTTCCACAGTACCTTTGTTCTGGGAGGAACAATTGAACAGCCTGACCCAACAACTTCCTCCCAGAACAAAGGTGCCAGCACAGAAAGCTTTTGCTGCTCATGAAGTTTCCAGGCTGACAAACCAACTGCACCACAAAGCCAAAGCTTCCAGGTTTTCTTTCCTGGGGATAAGGGCTGTTGTTTCCTCTTTTCTAACTTGCATCCTAACTGCCAGCCCAAGTCTCAAAATTGCATACAAAGACTCCTCCCACACCAAAGGTGCCAACACAGAAAGCTCTTGCTGCTCATGGATTGCCCAGCCTAACCCACCAACTGCAGCATAAAGCCAAAGTTTGTAGGCTTTCTTTCCTGGCGATAAGGGCTGCTGTTTCCTGTTTTCAACCATGCCTTCCAACTGCCAGCCCAAATCCCAAAATTGCATACAAACAAAGATTCCTCCCACACCAAAGGTGCCAACACAGAAAACTCTTGCTGCGCATGGAGTCCCCAGACTGACAAACCAACTGCACCATGCAGTCAAAGCTTCCAGGCTTTCCTTCCAGGGAATAAATGCTGTTGTTTCGTCTTTTCAGCCCTGCCTCACAACTGCCAACCCTACTCCTAAAATTGTTACAAACAAAGATTCCTCCCAGAACAAAGGTGCCAGCATAGAAAGCTCTTGCTACTCCTGGACTGCCCAGCCTGGCCCACCAATTGGACCACAAAACCAATGATTGCAGGCTTTCTTTCCTGGGGAAAAGGGCTGTTGTTTCCTGTTTTCAACCATGCCTCCTAACTGCCAGCCCGACTCCAAAAACAGAGATTCCTTCCAGAACAAAGGTGCCAGCACAGAAAGCTCTTGCTGCTCGTGTAGTGCACAAGCTGGCCCACCAATTGGACCACAAACCCAAAGCTTCCAGTCTTTCTTTCCTGGCGATAAGGGCTGTTGTTTCCTGTTTTCAGTCCTGCCTACCAACTGACACATCCACTCCAAAAACTGCATACAAAAAAAGATTCCTCCAACATCAAAGGTGCCAGCATGGAAAGCTCCAGCTGCCCATGGAGTCTCCAGGCTGATGAAAAAACTGAACCACCAAGCCAAAGTTTCAAGGCTTTCATTCCTGGCGACAAGGGCTGTTGTTTCCGCTTTTCATCCCTACCTCCCAACTGCCAGCCTGATTCCCAAAATTGCATACAAACAAAGATTCCTCCAAGAACAAAGATGTCAGCACAGAAAGGGGCAGGTTCAGTTTGCCTTTGGAGAGAACGCACACACCTGCCCTCCCACCCGCAACTGGGAACTCTCCTGCTGGGAGAGTTGGGAGCTGAGCAGTCCCTCCTCACAGATCCCAAAGTGGCACCTGAGTGGTACTGCATAACTATCCGGAGTAGCTAAAAAACAACATCTGTACATTCTTTTCTCGTGCCGTACAAATTTCAACAGAAAAGACACAAATCCTGAAGTAATTTGAGCAGTGTTCTGTCTTTCCTTTCCTTGTAATTTCCTAGGAAACTGCATTGCCACAGGCACCTCCACTGGATCGATTCCTTAAGGACTGCTCCTGTGGAAGGACTCCTGCAGCAGAAGTTCCCGGGGAACTGTCTGCCACAGGAGGAAGCCCATGCTGGAGCAGGGAAAGGACTCTTGACCCTGAGCGGTGGCAGAAACAGTGTGCAATGAAGTGTCCATAAAAGCCATTCCCCTTTCCCAAGGTTATTTAGCCATAATTTATTTATTCTTTAGGATGGTGCGAAACAAGGAGTTCTTGCACCAACCCTTTTCACAATCTTTTTCAGCAGGATACTCCAAAGGGCCACGGCAGACCTCGACGAAGAAGGTGGGATCTACATCCCATATCGTACCCATGGAAGCCTTTTCAACCTAAGGCGACTGAAGGCCCACACTAAGACCTTAAACCATCTTGTCCGGGAGCTGCTTTACGCTGACGCCGACGCCCTCGTGGTTCACACAGTGGCAGCTCTGCAGCGTTTAACATCCTGCTTTACTGAGACTGCTGAGATTTTTTGGGCTGGGCATCAGCTTCAAGAAGACACAAGTTCTCTATCAGACCGAGGAGGGGGCCTTTGCCAACGTGGACGATGACTGGAAATACGACACCCATCCAGACCTATCCCAATGCGCAGATGTTACCGCGTGGGAAGAAGACGTGACACCCCAAGAGCTCTACCCATGAGAAGAAGAAGTGAGAGTCCAACAACCTTCCCAACGGGGAGCCAGAAGACACCAAGAGCTCTACGAATTTGAAGAAGATGGGAGGGTCCGAGAAGTTTCCCAGTGGGGGGATGGGAGACACCCAGAGCTGTAGCAACGGGAAGAAACCGTGAGACGCCAGGAGCTGTACGAATGGGAAGAAGATGGTGTGAGATACCAGGAGCTGACCCGATGGGAAGAACATGCGACAGTGCAAGAGGTGTCCCAAAGGGAAGAAGAAGAGACATATCAAGAGCTGTCCCAATGGGGAGATGTGGCAGTCCCAGAGCTGTCCCAGTGGGAAGGTGAGAGATACCATGACCTGCCTCAGTGGGAAGAAGATGTGCAAGGGCATGGACCGTACCAATGGAAAGACAAGAGAGACCCAGAGGTCTCCCAAGTGGGAGACAAGGCAGACAAGGAGCAACCTCAGGAAGAAGACTCCAGTGCCCAAGAGCTGCCCCAAAGGGAAGACAGGAGTGAGAAAAAGCTGTCCCAGTGGGGAGATGATGTCGGTTACAGCACCTGGGACAAACCCTGGCGCCCGCTGAACGCTGGGGACCCCCAGATTGTTCCCCAGGAGGGACCCGGCTCTGCCAGCAGCGTGGGCACAGAGGTGGCAGCAGAGACAGTCCGTGACCTGCCCAGTCCAGCTCCTGCCCCGGTGAGTGCCACTGACACCGAGCCAGCAGGTGCTGCCCCCAGGGGCCTCTGCCTCTGTTGAGGAAGAGGCAGAAGGTTCTCCAGCCTTCAGAGAGCAGTTGCCATCGACAGGGACACAGAGCCCGGTCCCTGCCCCACACAGCCCCTCAGAGAGTAGCGAGGCCCTGCTGGACACAAAGCAATACATCACATGTGGGATCGTGAAGAAGGCTGAGCTTTTGATCCAGGCATCCAGCCAGGAGTCAGAGGAACAGAGAAACCTGGAACAAAGCATGGATGCAGACACGGTAAAAACCGTTCCAGCAGAAAGGACAGAGAGCCCAGTCCCTGCCCCGCAGAGCCCCTGCTCCCCCAGTAGCCCCTCACCTTCCCAACTGAAAGCCCAGGTCCTCAGCGAGCAGGAGGATGGAGCAGGAGGGGACTCCGTCCTGGCAGTGCAAGACACTGACGAGGGGCCCTTCCCAGGGGAGGGCATAGGCTGGAAATACTACGCTGACCAAGACATTTCCCAGTGGGAAGATGAGGGAGACCAAGAGTTGTCCCAAGAAACATTAACACATACCAAGAAGTGTCCCAGGGGGAAGACTGCATTGAGCAGGAGCTGTCCCCTGGAGAAGTCAAGAGCTACCAGGAATTGTCTGACTGGGAAGAATACAGCGAGGAAGAGGAGCCCCAAGGAGAAGTGAAGAGCTACCAAGAAGTGTCCGACTGGGAAGAAAACATTGAGCAGGAGCAGTGCCAAGGAGAAGAGAGTAGAGGCCAAGAAGTGTCTGACTGGGAAGAATACGGCGAGGAAGAGCTGTCCCATGGAGGAGTGAAGAGCTACCAAGAAGTGTCCGACTGGGAGCACTCCAGCGAGGAAGAGCAGTGCCAAGAAGTCAAGAGGCACAAAGAACTGTCCAACTGGGAGGACTCCCAACGAGGAAGAGCAATGCCACGGAAAAGGCAGTAGCTCCCCGGAAGCGACCGACTTGGAAGAATGCAGCATGAAAGGGCAGCCCCCAAGAAAATTCAGTAACTACCAAGAACACCTGCCCCGTGCCCACAAGTGCCGCTCTGCACCTCACCTCTCCAGCTGGAAACCCTGTCCCCCGGAGGCACTGAAGCTTCTCCTGCCTTCGACGAGCCAGGTCCCTGCCCCACGCAGCCCCTGCTGCCCCTCCAGCCCCTCGCCTCCCCAGCTGGAGGTTCAGGCTCTCAGCAGGCAGCTGCTGTCCCCACCAAACGTCTCCCCCGCTTCAGGCGGGCGCTCGGGGCTCTACTCAGGCTGTTCCGCTCCTGCATGGCGGTACAGCCCCAGGATTAGGCCCCGCTCCAGCGCCAGGCGGGCCCGGACACCTCTTCGCTGCTTCCAACACAGACACTGACACCACCACCCACCTGAGACATTGATTCCAATGCCTGACTACTCCTGCAGGGAATGAGCAAAGACAGGACCTCTTGCTCCCAGAAACCCCCTGCAGGAGGACAACACACTCGATTCTTGCCAAAAAAACAAAAGATGGCTGAAGTCAATTACATAATTTTAGTAATTAATTAGGCTAGTTAAGTTTTTAATTTGATTAATAATTATCATAATATCTAACTATAACATTTAGATAGATTATTTCAGATTTACTATGAAGATAGAGTCACATAGGATAGGTAAAATTATATTTCCATATTATAAAAATTATCATGTTTATAGGGCAGAGAGAGTGAGCTTCCATTTAGATCATAAGAATCAGAGAAAGTAAGACATAGGAGTAGGAAGATTTACTGTACTTTCCATTTCAGAATCCGTTATCTCTTGCTATCGCTTTACCTCACATTTATTGTTAAATAAAGTCCATACTAAATAAAATCTGCCTGTTGTCAGCAAACGGTCTCCTTTACACCTTAGTTCGGGCTGAGGCATCTCTCCCTAATGAGATCAGAACACATGAGCAGAGACACCTTCCACCACACCAGCTGGCTTCAACCCCATCCAACTTGGCCTTGGACACTTCCCACGATGGGGCAGCCACAGTTTCTCTGGGCAACCTGGACCAGGGCCTCACCTCCCTCACGGCGGGCGGGTGTCCATCGGCAGCGCCGTTCTGGCAGCTGGCACCAAGCCCCGGCACAGGGCACTGTGCGTGTGGCGCCGGAGAGGCGACGGGAGACACGGGGAGGGGACTCGTCGACCTCACCATCAGCCCTGGCCCTCAGCACACTCTCCCTCAGCCACTGCTGTCCATGCCCTCGCCCTCAGCCAGTGCCCTCAGCGCCCTGGCCCTCAGCCACTGCTCTCCATGCCCTCGCCCTCAGCCAGTGCCCTCAGTGCCCTGGCCCTCAGCCATCGCCCCTCAGCCCTCAGCCATTGCCCTCACCCCCCAACTCCCTTTCAAATCCAGACCGGGGCTCGCCCCGGCCTCACACAGGGAGCTGCCGCGCTCCAGCTGTCGCTCAGCACTGGGTGGGGATCTTGTGCTCGCCCCAGGGCTGGGGCTTTGCAGCCTGGCCGTGCTTGGCATCACTCCTGCAATTTTACCCCAAGGGCATTTTTGAAAATGCTCAGCCGGCCGCTTCCCTTGCTCTGGGCCTAATGCTGCTGTTTCAGTCCCTTTTTAGAACCTGCCTGTGAAGAGAAGCCCCCCAGGAGAGCAGAGCCCGCTGCAGGAGCCAACAGCCTCACCCTAACCAAGGGATGACACAGCACTAAGTGTTGCAAAGATTGCAGCTGTTTCCAGGGCACAAAGCAAGCTGAAACTGCTCCACTTGGCATTTGCTTGCCCATCTCGCTCTAAAATAACATCCCAAGATGTCAGTGTTCAAGACAATGGCTTAGATTGAGGTGGACTGTGCTGGGGAGCCTTTTAAACCCAGCCTCCTGCCTGACCTCACTGCTGCTGGAGTTGCATGGAGAGTGCTTGGAGTCTTTCAGTTGGATTCATATGTTTCCTAGAACGTTCCCGTTTCTTGGTTTGCTGTTCAGTGGAGATAAGGATGTTCTTCCAAGTGATAGCTCTCCTCCAATCTTTTCTTCGGCTCCAGAAATGGAGCAGCTTCATCAGGCACTTAGGTGAGAAGAGAGAGTTCCGGAAAAGCAGCCCTCGGAATGGAAACCGTCAGTCAAGAGGCAATGTTTAATGTTCTTCTTGGTGCAGAAACTGAAGATCAAGCTTTAGAAGAAGGATAGAGAAAGAACCTCTCAAAGACAACAAACTGTCCTGTAGGTACCCAGAGGTGGGTTGTTTTGGGTTCTTTTGTTTGTTTGGTTGGTTGGTTGGTTTTTACCTCAGGCCTTACAGTCAACAAGACAGGATGAAACGCAAGAATCATTTTGGCATGGAAATACTTGTCTTCATAAACTTGCTCATTGGAAAACTTGGTATCTGTTGATTTCTCCTTGTGATAGCTCTGGGTCTTTCTCATCCTCCCCCCTGCACAGCTCTGGGATTCTCCCCTCTTCCCACTGGGCAACTTCTTGGACTCTCCCATCTGCCTCCCATTGGTGCAGCTCTTGACTCTCATTTTCTCCCCTCAGGTTGAGCTCTCGCACTCGCCCACGTTCTTCCCATGGCTGCAGCTCTGGGCCGCTCACGTTTCCCCAGTGGAACACTTCGATGTTTTTCTTTGGAATGATTTTTGGATGGTCCAAAGAGCTGTGAAAACAGCTAAAAAGGACTTGTTTGCCCACGTCAAAACTGTGCTTGCTTCCTAACAAAGATGACTCCCTGGCAATAGTCAGGCTCAGAGCGTGTCTGTGCAGGTTTGGCCGGACAGGCTCCACAGTCCTGGGGCAAATGTGTTTGGATGCCAGTTCTTTGTGAGCCGGGTTCAAGGGGCAGGTTCAGTTTGCCTTTGGAGAGAACGCACACACCTGCCCTCCCACCCGCAACTGGGAACTCTCCTGCTGGGAGAGTTGGGAGCTGAGCAGTCCCCCCTCACAGATCCCTGAGTGGTACTGCATAACTATCCGGAGTAGCTAAAAAACGACATCTGTACATTCTTTTCTCATGCCTTACAAATTTCAACAGAAAAGACACAAATCCTGAAGTAATTTGAGCAGTGTTCTGTCTTTCCTTTCTTTGTAATTTCCTAGGAAACTGCATTGCCACAGGCACCTCCACTGGATCGATTCCTTAAGGACTGCTCCTGTGGAAGGACTCCTGCAGCAGAAGTTCCCGGGGAACTGTCTGCCACAGGAGGAAGCCCATGTTGGAGCAGGGAAAGGACTCTTGGCCCTGAGCGGTGGCAGAAACAGTGTGCAATGAAGTGCCCATAAAAACCATTCCCCTTTCCCAAGGTTATTTAGCCATAATTTATTTATTGTTTAGGATGGTGCGAAACAAGGCTGCGTTCTTGCACCAACCCTATTCACAATCTTTTTCAGCAGGATACTCCAAAGGGCCACGGCAGACCTCGACGAAGAAGGTGGAATCTACATCCCATATCGTACCCATGGAAACCTTTTCAACCTAAGGTGACTGAAGGCCCACACTAAGACCTTAAACCATCTTGTCCGGGAGCTGCTTTACGCTGACGCCAACGCCCTCGTGGCTCACACAGTGGCAGCTCTGCAGCGTTTAACATCCTGCTGTGCTGAGGCTGCTGAGTTCTTTGGGCTGGGCGTCAGCTTGAAGAAGACACAAGTTCTCTATCAGACCGAGGAGGGAGCCTTTGCCAACGTGGACGATGACTGGAAATACGACACCCATCCAAACCTATCCCAATGCGCAGATGTTACCGCGTGGGAAGAAGACGTGACACCCCAAGAGCTCTACCCATGAGAAGAAGAAGTGAGAGTCCAACAACGTTCCCAACGGGGAGCCAGAAGACACCGAGAGCTCTACGAATTTGAAGAAGATGGCAGAGTCCGAGAACTTTCCCAGTGGGGGGATGGGAGACACCCAGAGCTGTACCAATGGGAAGAAACCGTGAGATGCCAGGAGCTGTACGAATGGGAAGAAGATGGTGTGAGATACCAGGAGCTGACCCGATGGGAAGAACATGCGACAGTGCAAGAGGTGCCCCAAAGGGAAGAAGAAGAGACATATCAAGAGGTGTCCCAATGGGGAGATGTGGCAGTCCCAGAGTTGTCCCAGTGGGAAGGTGAGAGATACCATGACCTGCCTCAGTGGGAAGAAGATGTGCAAGGGCATGGACCGTACCAATGGAAAGACAAGAGAGACCCAGAGGTCTCCCAAGTGGGAGACAAGGCAGACAAGGAGCAACCTCAGGAAGAAGGCTCCAGTGCCCAAGAGCTGCCCCAAAGGGAAGACAGGAGTGAGAAAAAGCTGTCCCAGTGGGGAGATGATGTCGGTTACAGCACCTGGGACAAACCCTGGCGGCCGCTGAACTCTGGGGACCCCCAGATTGTTCCCCAGGAGGGACCCGGCTCTGCCAGCAGCGTGGGCACAGAGGTGGCAGCAGAGACAGTCCGTGACCTGCCCAGTCGAGCTCCTGCCCCAGTGAATGCCACGGACACCGAGCCAGCAGGTGCTGCCCCCAGGGGCCTCTGCCTCTGTTGAGGAAGAGGCAGAAGGTTCTCCAGCCTTCAGAGAGCAGTTGCCATCGACAGGGACACAGAGCCCGGTCCCTGCCCCACACGGCCCCTCAGAGAGCAGCGAGGCCCTGCTGGACTCAAAGCAATACATCACATGTGGGATCGTGAAAAAGGTTGAGCTTGTGATCCAGGCATCCAGCCAGGAGCCGGAGGAACAGAGAAACCTGGAGCAAACCGTGGATACAGACACGGTAAAAACCGTTCCAGCAGAAAGGACAGAGAGCCCAGTCCCTGCCCCGCAGAGCCCCTGCTCCCCCAGCAGCCCCTCACCTTCCCAACTGAAAGCCCAGGCCCACAGCGAGCAGGAGGAGGGAGCAGGAGGGGACTCAGTCCTGGCAGTGCAAGACACTGACGAGGGGCCCTTCCCTGGGGAGGGCATAGGCTGGAAATACTACGTTGACCAAGGCATTTCCCAGTGGGAAGATGAGGGAGACCAAGAGTTGTCCCAAGAAACATTAACACATACCAAGAAGTGTCCCAGGGGGAAGACTGCATTGAGCAGGAGTTGTCCCCTGGAGAAGTCAAGAGCTACCAGGAATTGTCTGACTGGGAAGAATACAGCGAGGAAGAGGAGCCCCAAGGAGAAGTGAAGAGTTACCAAGAAGTGTCCGACTGGGAAGAAAACATTGAGCAGGAGCAGTGCCAAGGAGAAGAGAGTAGAGGCCAGGAAGTGTCTGACTGGGAAGAATACGGCGAGGAAGAGCTGTCCCATGGAGGAGTGAAGAGCTACCAAGAAGTGTCCGACTGGGAGCACTCCAGCGAGGAAGAGCAGTGCCAAGAAGTCAAGAGGCACAAAGAACTGTCCAGCTGGGAGGACTCCCAACGAGGAAGAGCAATGCCACGGAAAAGGCAGTAGCTCCCCGGAAGCGACCGACTTGGAAGAATGCAGCATGAAAGGGCAGCCCCCAAGAAAATTCAGTAACTACCAAGAACACCTGCCCCGTGCCCACAAGTGCCGCTCTGCACCTCACCTCTCCAGCCGGAAACCCTGTCCCCCGGAGGCACTGAAGCTTCTCCTGCCTTCGACGAGCCAGGTCCCTGCCCCACGCAGCCCCTGCTGCCCCTCCAGCCCCTCGCCTCCCCAGCTGGAGGTTCAGGCTCTCAGCAGGCAGCTGCTGTCCCCACCAAACGTCTCCCCCGCTTCAGGCGGGCGCTCGGGGCTCTACTCAGGCTGTTCCGCTCCTGCATGGCGGTACAGCCCCAGGATTAGGCCCCGCTCCAGCGCCAGGCGGGCCCGGACACCTCTTCGCTGCTTCCCACACAGACGCTCACTCCACCACCCACCTGAGACATTGATTCCAATGCCTGACTACTCCTGCAGGGAATGAGCAAAGACAGGACCTCTTGCTCCCAGAAACCCCCTGCAGGAGGACAACACACTCGATTCTTGCCAAAAAAACAAAAGATGGCTGAAGTCAATTACATAATTTTAGTAATTAATTAGGCTAGTTAAGTTATTAATTTGATTAATAATTATCATAATATCTAGCTATAACATTTAGATAGATTATTTCAGATTTACTATGAAGATAGAGTCACAGAGGATAGGTAAAATTATATTTCCATATTATAAAAATTATCTTGTTTATAGGGCAGAGAGAGTGAGCTTTCATTTAGATCATAAGAATCAGAGAAAGCAAGACGTAAGAGTAGGAAGATTTACTGTACTTTCCATTTCAGTATCTGTTATCTCTCGCTATCGCTTTACCTCACATTTATTGTTAAATAAAGTCCGTACTAAATAAAATCTGCCTGTTGTCAGCAAACGGTCTCCTTTACACCTTAGTTCGGGCTGAGGCATCTCTCCCTAATGAGATCAGAACACATGAGCAGAGACACCTTCCACCACACCAGCTGGCTTCAACCCCATCCAACTTGGCCTTGGACACTTCCCACGATGGGGCAGCCACAGTTTCTCTGGGCAACCTGGACCAGGGCCTCACCTCCCTCACGGCGGGCGGGTGTCCATCGGCAGCGCCGTTCTGGCAGCTGGCACCAAGCCCCGGCACAGGGCACTGTGCGTGTGGCGCCGGAGAGGCGACGGGAGACACGGGGAGGGGACTCGTCGACCTCACCATCAGCCCTGGCCCTCAGCACACTCTCCCTCAGCCACTGCTGTCCATGCCCTCGCCCTCAGCCAGTGCCCTCAGCGCCCTGGCCCTCAGCCACTGCTCTCCATGCCCTCGCCCTCAGCCAGTGCCCTCAGTGCCCTGGCCCTCAGCCATCGCCCCTCAGCCCTCAGCCATTGCCCTCACCCCCCAACTCCCTTTCAAATCCAGACCGGGGCTCGCCCCGGCCTCACACAGGGAGCTGCCGCGCTCCAGCTGTCGCTCAGCACTGGGTGGGGATCTTGTGCTCGCCCCAGGGCTGGGGCTTTGCAGTCTGGTCGTGTTTGGCATCACTCCTGCAATTTTACCCCAAGGGCATTTTTGAAAATGCTCAGCCGGCCGCTTCCCTTGCTCTGGGCCTAACGCTGCTGTTTCAGTCCCTTTTTAGAACCTGCCTGTGAAGAGAAGCCCCCCAGGAGAGCAGAGCCCGCTGCAGGAGCCAACAGCCTCACCCTAACCAAGGGATGACACAGCACTAAGTGTTGCAAAGATTGCAGCTGTTCCCAGGGCACAAAGCAAGCTGAAACTGCTCCACTTGGCATTTGCTTGCCCATCTCGCTCTAAAATAACATCCCAAGATGTCAGTGTTCAAGACAATGGCTTAGATTGAGGTGGACTGTGCTGGGGAGCCTTTTAAACCCAACCTCCTGCCTGACCTCACTGCTGCTGGAGTTGCATGGAGAGTGCTTGGAGTCTTTCAGTTGGATTCATATGTTTCCTAGAACGTTCCCGTTTCTTGGTTTGCTGTTCAGTGGAGATAAGGATGTTCTTCCAAGTGATAGCTCTCCTCCAATCTTTTCTTCGGCTCCAGAAATGGAGCAGCTTCATCAGGCACTTAGGTGAGAAGAGAGAGTTCCGGAAAAGCAGCCCTCGGAATGGAAACCGTCAGTCAAGAGGCAATGTTTAATGTTCTTCTTGGTGCAGAAACTGAAGATCAAGCTATAGAAGGAGGATAGCGAAAGGACCTCTCAAAGACAACAAACTGTCCTGGAGGTACCCAGAGGTGGGTTGTTTTGGGTTCTTTTGTTTGGTT